CCCACCATGGCCGCTGAGTAGCAGAGCATAAGCAAAAATAGCCATTTATACAAGTGACCCCAGTCTGACAGCTGGGGAACCAGAATAGAACTGAAACAGGACTCCTGAATGTGAGTGTCAGTTGGGAGGCCAGAGCAGTCAGTCTATGGGATCTCTGGCAGTGGAACCAGTATTTATCCCTAGTGCATGGACTTTGGGAGCCCATTCCCTATGGAGGGATACTCGCTCAGCCTATGCCCTTCCCCAAATGATGTGACAGACTTTGATGATCTCTCATGGGATGCCTCATCCTCCCTGGTGAGTGGAAGAGGGGTGGGATGGAGGTGGTGGTGGGGGACATGGGAGGATGGAAGGGATTGAGAACTTGGATTGGTATGGAAAATAAGATTGTTTTTAATTTAAATAAAAAAATTCCCTTGGAAAGGAAGAGGGAAAACAGCTCAGCTCATAGCCTTCATGAGGTCCAGTTCCATAGACCTTGGAAAGGTGATGGCAGAGAGGTAGTCTTCAGTAGCATAGCTCCCTGAAAGATGCTTACAGGATCCACAGTGGTGCAATGTTTTGTGAGTTGCCCTGATGTGGATAACTTTTCAGTGGTGTAACTGCCAGTAAGTTGCTCAGGAAACTTCCTGGTGGTGTAGCAGCCTCTGAGTCACCCATGCACCTGTAAATAACTCCACTTGATTCACTGGTACATTAATCTGGGCTTTGCTGGAATCCTTTCTTTGGTTTGTCCTCACCTTTCCTATCTAGGGTGAACAGATCCATCTTTGAAATTCTTCCAAAGAATATTCAGGTGCTATACCTCCTCCCCAACACACACACACACACACACACACACACACACACACACACACACACACACAAACACACAGACACACACACTCACACACACAGGCACACACACAGACACACACACACAGACACTCACATACACACTCACCCTTACACACACTCACACATACCCACACTCACACACTCACACACACACAGGTACACACACAGACACACACTCACATACACACTCACCCTTACACACACTCACACATACCCACACTCACACCCACACACACACACACACTCACTCACACACACACACACACACACACACACACACACACACACACACACACTTCTATGCACACTCCCCAACTGGGATCCTCTCTATAAAGACAAAGGACAGTCCTACATCTCTAGTGCTTCCCTCCACTCCCACTGCATTTACTGATCTGGATCAGAAGTTCTATTTCTTAGCAGGCACACTGGACAGTGCTGATCCTTGACATTTAAGGCTGTGAGCCTATTGAGTTTCCTCTGTGACAATTGAGGGAAGGGATCTACAGAGTGAAAGAGAAGGAGATAGTGGGGTAGTGGTGGCACCAGCCTTTAATCCCAGCACTCGGGTGGCAGAGGTAGGTGGATCTCTGTGAGAAAAACCTACCCTCTGGGAAATCAGTTTTTCAATCTGAATTATAAAGTTTGAGGTTTAAGGAAGTAGTTTTGGATTATTTTCTCTATGCCAAAGTAGATGATTGCACACCAACCCATCTAATAGGAGAAATAGAGAAAACAGAATTCTGTGACCAGGTTGTCTGGAATGCAAAATGAATGATGTATAAAACTGAGATGCTGCAACACAAACAGGTGTGTAGCTGATGCCAAGCTTCCACAATTCCAGCAATTCCAGAAGCTGGATCTTACTAAAGCCAAAGAACAATTTTAAAACTAACTCTTTTAATAACTTCTGTACTCAGTGATGGCACTAGTTTTGTTTCTTAAAAGTTTATAGTAAAAACAATACAAAACCTCAAACCAAGAATATGTTTGAGACAACTGATTTGAATGAAGTTAATATAAAAGAGAGAGATACTATATGGCAAAGTATTTTGCCAAACTCTGCATATGCATGCTAGTCTTTTCCTTTAATGGAAAGGAGATTAATAGGACCGGGAGAAAGGGCTGTTAGGGCTGGGGTGGGGGAGGCAGAGAGCATCCATCATTTCCAGGGACACTAAATCATTGCTGTGATAGGATGCATTGTTGACAGTTGCTCTTTCATAATTCCTATTAATTGCGATCTGTAATTCAATAATCACTTAGAGATTGAAGGCTAAAACTAAGTTTCCTTCTGATTAAAGGAAATGAGATACTAAATCAGTCTCCAGACTGATAGAAATTACCTTCGGGTGTGGCTCCAGATTGAGCCCATCTATTGTTTTCAGTGTCCATTACAGCCATCAGTTCTAGATGTAAGTGACATATATTAGAAATTAAGGCCTTGAAAACAGCAGGTGCTATGGAATGGTTTCCACAGGCACACATGCCATCAGTCTTTCCAGAGACCTTTAACTGTACCACAAATTAAATTTGTTTCAGAAACTTGCAATGTCCAGGTGTTTGGCCAGACTCTGGATCTAGAACTCGGGCATCAGTTGCAGGAAACTCCAGGAGGCAACAGAACTTGATACAGTGAAGTAAAGCCCAGCCAGTGAGTTTCCAAATAAACTGCATGTATCACTTTGGCTTAAAATTGGTGGTGTGAAATGCACTTTATTTTTTACTTCTTCTATTTTTTGTAGCCAACTGTTCATCTGCTTCCCTTTAAAAAAGACAATCAAATGTATAGACTGGTTAATTAAGACTTTGTGGTAGCCACCTTTGGAGTGGTATCTCAGTTCACAGGGACTTCTACAGCTTTCTTCCCTCATCCACAGAAGAAGTCCTGCCTCAAACTTCACCAGCTGTTATCCTGAGCTGCATTTCTGAATTGAAAATGAAAGCCAATATTTCTATATGGTTGGTTATGGGAGAGGAGTGTCCTGGCTTGAGGACTTTGTAATTAAGAGTTATGAGGAGAGCTTCAGAGAGCAAGAAGAGACAGAGGAGAGGCAGAGATAACCTTTGGTTGGTTTTTGTCTGCCTGACACCCCCCCTTTCATTAACAGCAGCCTTTCTCCTTAGGGACTCTCTTACCCTCATCCCATGGGCCCTGTGAAAAATGGACAAGCAGGCTTGCTAGTGACATTGGTTGATATCATCAGGGGTCTGAAGACAACTCCTGGTGGTTCAAAGTTCTTATGTCCCTGAACAACAAATTTCGAAGAGACACAGTTGTAACAGGAGGGAAGATTTGTTAGAAAAAGATTCACTTCCAGGGAGAAAGAAGGCTGGGACAGAGAGAGTGTAGCAGAGCAAGGGTCTGCTGTAGAGTCAGGGCATGCTTTTGGCCCATTTGTACAGCATGGGATTCTTGGCATTGGGCATCTTGGGCTCCTAGTGCAGACTGTCTGGCCCAAGCTCTACATTTGGACCTGTAAACTTCATGTGTTACATATCTCACTGACATCTTAAACCCTCACCCAGGGGCATGCATTTTGGTATTATAATGAGCCAGAGTACTTCATAGATCTTGGAATGCCACCATGCATAGTCAGGTGCCTGATCATTTGAATCTGGGCTGCAAGTATGTTCCTAGGTTTCCTTTTGCTAGTTTGGGCTTCACATATGTCAACTGTATAAGACTTCTTACCCTGCCTCATTGATTTCTTGATCCTTAAGCATAAACCCGAGACAGGAAAAGGTACCACTGCCATTGTGATAACCAACTGTCATGAGAAATGGACAGTGGCTGCAGCTCCAGGATCACATGACAGCTACCACGACTCCCACCCTGATCCCCAGCGTGCTTGTCCAGTCATTCTTTGCATCTGAGCTGTGGGCTGTCTATTTTTACAAAGGATCCTAGCAGAGTTTTCCATTGTTCTTGGGGTCTCACCTTAAATCTGCCTGGAAACTGGGAAGCAACCTGTTTTGGGAAAGATGGGACATTCTTGCATCCTTACCCGCCTCCCTATTTAGCAGCTTATGTTTCTGACGTAACTGCGAGTCCTAACTAAAAAAACTGTTCAACAACATGGTCTATTCTGTAGATGGCCTAGAGACTGTTTAAAGTAGGGGCAAGGCTTTTTAACCCCCATTTAAATCTTCAAGCTCTTAATCAAGACAACTCCAATTTACATGGGTATGGTGGCTCATGCCTCAACCCCAGCACTCTGGAGGCACTGAGGGGTGGATCTCTGTGAGTTTGGGGATAGCCTGGTCTACATAGCGAGAGTTCCAAGCCAGTCAAGAGGGCTACATAGTGAGATCCTGTCTCAAAATATAGAATAAAACACCCCCCAAAACAAACTGTAAATCTTTTGTAATTTTGCCTGCTCAATGAATCCTCCTTTTATTCATTTTCATTTTGTAAACATGAAGATATTTGAGAGACATTCATAACAAAGGTATAATTTGAGAAAAAGGATTAAAAGCTTATCATGCACAAACATGGCTTTAAATAATGTATGATCCTTTGAACAAGAGCCCAATCTGCTTATGGAAAAAGTTCCTATTTCCTCTATCGGGCAACATTAAATGAAACCAGAGCACTGCTGTTAAATCCAACCACACACCAATAATTTTTCCTTTCTAATAGTACCTTTTCTTATTAAAAAAACCTCTATGGAAAAACAACACATGCCTGTGAATAAGAACTTCCCCAGCTCAGTCTTAATGCTCTTGGCACATGATTCAAGGCCAGCTACCTGGATGCAGAACACGCACACTTCTTGCCTTGGGATGCAAGCAGAGCTGCTCTGATGTTACCTTAAAGATAAGAAAAAGCCATCCAGTCTCTCTAGGCACAGGTCACAGAAGCAGCAAGGGAGGCATGAAAGGGTGTTCAGATGGCAATTCCTTCTTACATCTGGATCCATAGAGCTTGAGTATTAGAATTCAAAGTTAAGTGGTAAAGAGGAGTAAAAGCAACTGCGGTGCTGAGCAGTCTAATCTTAACAGCGCTGTGATCTCTGCAAGTGCTCACTCAAGGCACTGGACTGAGAAGACAGAATAGCTCACACCCAAAAACCTAGGCACAAAAATCCAACTCGTTCATGTTTCCTAAGAGTCTAAAGGAATGGGAAGTGGCCTGGGAATAATCTGGTAAAGACAACAGGGAGGAAAAAAGAGGAAGTGGTCTCTTGACCACTATACTTTATTTTTAATACAAACAAGCTATAAAATGTTTCAGACATCTTTAAACAAGAATACACCTTTTGTAGTGTATCAAGCCATCATGTATCAGAGATTAACACTGGAAAAATCTGAACAAGTAATCATTAATTTGCTTATATAACATAATGACACTTAGACGTTGGGAATGAACAACTAAGAGCAAATTCAGGACCTAAGATCTGTGGTCTGATTTAATTCCATCACAAGTTTCAAAGCCACACACACAGCTACAAAGAGAACGCTGGCATTCTTAACATTGAACACCATTTACAAAGCACTTCTCCAATCCTTTTGACTCTTTGGGCCCACCTGCACAACACACAGGTCACGGTGCCCATTGTGGTTGTCATGTTGCTGTCATGTTCCATCCACTGTGGCTGCTTTCTGCCCTGGGGGTGGGAGCTACACCAGCTCGTAGTATTTCCCAGTCTGAGGGTCAAAGTAGCAGTTGAGGCATGGGTCATACAACAAAGTCAGTAACTCCTCATCTTCTTCTGCACTCAGGGCCTCTTCACCTGTAGGTCAAGGTGACAGATACGTCAGCTATTGGCCTGGCACGGATTCCTAAAGTGTCACCTCGGAAGGGAGGCAGAGTAAGGATTACTATTGCTCAAGAAATTTTCTCTATGCAGGCATCGGTTAGGTTGGGAAGGATGGACAGGGTAGGTACATGAGTGGTGTACATTTGAGAAGCAATGTCAGGTACTCAAAGGGTCAGCTCCACAATGAAGGATAAAAAGCAAACTGGCAGCTGGGATGATGACTCAGTGGTTAAAAACACACTGGCTGCTTTTCCAGAGGACCCAGATTTGATTTCCAGCACCTACATGACAGCTTGAACTTTTAGTCTCAGGGTACCCAGCACCCATTTATGGCCTCCTTGGGTACTGTATACATGGTACATAAACATACAAGCAGGTAAAACACTCTTATACATAAAAAGAATAAAACAACAACAACAAGAAAAACGTCAAGCAAAACTAAAATGGCATAGAGAAGAGTCTGAAGGAAAAAGAATAAAATGGCAGAGTCAAAGGACATGTGCTGGGATCATGAAATGCTGGATGATATCCAAAATTCATTTACTACAGTTCTAAAGTCCTATATGTGTCAGAGCTGTGTCTAATGCAGAGAAGTATGAGTCCAGGTCAAAAGAGAGAGTCTTTACTCATTTTGTTTCAAAAAGCCTACCAGAGAACTATGTATTTAAATGCTGCTATTTGTAAAGCTACGATCCATAGCACACAAAACACAAGCGATAGACTGTCATTTCCTTTGTGGTAGGAAGGTATAAGCTTGATGGGGATATAGATGATAGTTTGAGCAGAGGGAACATTGCCTAAATCATTAGCAGTTTCCAATAAGTAGTATACAATTAAAAATGTCTTACAAGAATCCTTTGTGTGCTCAATATTGTAAAGGACTTTGGCATTTGGAAGAGAGTCCTATGTCCTTCAGACAGTCTGTGTCTTCACTTCTGAGAAGGGTGAGGTAAGGCTCAGAGAAAAGGAGGCGGTTAGACACTTTGTCTTTGTTGGCTTAGCCAACTAAGGACAAGTGGGCGCGAGCTCCTCATACAAAGGGCTTTAGCAGTGAGCATGAGAGAAAGATTTGCAAGTGACAGAGGTTCAGTAAAAACCGTGCATGGTTCATGGGTGTGAACATGTTTGAGTGTGTGTGTGTGTGTGTGTGTGTGTGTGTGTGTGTGTGTGTGTGTGTACATGGTCAAAGGTAAGTGTCTGGTGTCGTGCTAAACTGCTCTCCATCTTAGTTTTGGAGACACAGTAATGTCCTCCTTAAAAATACAATACAATACAATACAATACAATACAATACAATACAATACACAAAGCTCACCATCCTAAATGTTACAGCTCATAGTACAATCAGGTGGTGGTGGTGGTGGTGGGGCTTGCATGTTAGCCAGCTAGATCAGAGTGAGCTGTCACAATCACTATCAGGGCATTGGCAAACTGGAGTTAGGTCCATGGGTATGTGCCCACATGAGAAGCAAGCCTTTGAAGCCACTTCATAGCTCATCCTTCTTGTTACTATCTGGACTATTTAACATAACCCTTCCTAGAGCCAAACCCTGAGTGGGGTGCTAGGCACACAAAGATAAGAAACAGGTTTGTTTGTTGGGGAACATTATTTTAAGGTATGTGACTTTTGCTTATGCTGCATTTGTTTAACTCTGTGAAGCTGTGATTCTTTATCTAAAACACCTGATGATTTAATAGAGAGCTAACTGGCCAATAGCAAGGCAGGAGCAAGGATAGGCAGGGCTGGCAAGCAGAGAATAGGAGGAGAAACAAGGAAGAAGAGAGAAATGAGAGAGGAGAGGAGGATATCAGGGCCAGCCAGCCACAGAGTAGGAAAATAGAGAAGAAAGATAAAAGCCCAAAGAGAAAACATAGTTGGGATAATTTAAGAAAAGATGGCTAGAAACAAGCCAAGCTAAGGCCTGACATTCATGACTAAGAATAAGCCTCCATGTGTGATTTACTTGGGAGCAGGTCCTGCTAAAAGGATAAAGAGCCAAAAGAGTAAGAGCAAAAACATTCACTATTTGTTCTTAGGGAATATAGTAAACATGTGATGGCTTGGTTCTTTTGAGGTGAAATCTGCAAAAATTGGGGCCAAGAGGAATGGATGCTTCAGCCCTGCTGGTTGGTGTTTTGTTGGCTCAGCCAGATGCTCTGGAAGGCACTTTCTCTAGTGCCCTCCATAAACAATCATGACAGCATAGAGGAGGCAGGGGTTCCTTAGGGTTTCTGTTTTGCAGATGAGGAAGTCAAGGCCTGCAAAAGGAAATAGCTCACCTGAGGTTGCCTGGTAGCGATTCAGAGGTGGAGCTTGGAGCAGAGTCAAGTTACGAGGCTTAAGCTCAGCATTCCTTCTCTTATACCCTTGAGAAATTAATAGGCTACTAATCTGAACTTGTTCCTGTTCCCTGGGTTCCTACTTAGTTACACAAACCAAAAACCCAGCTCAGTGTATAAACAGACAAACAGGACCTGAGTCCTGCTGTTGAGAAACTGCCTAAGCATCCTTGAATTGCCTTCCACTCCCACAGTTATCTTCTTGGTCTAGCTTTCAAGGAATGACACATGTCAAAGTTTCCTCATTCTCTTGCCCTTACTTGAGCCTCCTGGGCTTCAGATTAGTGGTGATCAGCATATGAGTTCTCTCTGCTCAAATAAACTCTTTAAAATCTTAATGTGCCCAAATTTAGCTTTTAACACCATGCCTGATATTTTTGTGAAGGGTGTGGAATCACACATTTAATTGGGAATTTAAACATGAGATAGACTAGAAAAATGTAAAGGTGTCCTATATTTTCAAATATTAAATTTATAAGCAGAAGAAACTTGACTTCTCATATTTTAGAACCTACTGGTGAATATGATGAAGTCTATTGGGAGGCCAGGGGTAATGAGTTCCATAGGCCCAAAGGAAAAGAGCAAGCTTGGTGATGGGGGCATTAGTCCTTCCTGCAATTAAAAATGAGGGTGGTGTAGGCATGAGGAGTTTAGAGGATTTGGTGGGGTCCCAGGATGAGGCAAGAAGGCTTGAGACTTCTATTTTGACTCAGAACAAAGAGGGATTCTATTAGCATAGAACTGCCCAGTAAATGGAAATGTGCTCTAGAGAGGGTGAAGGCCAGGGCAATACTCGTAGAGGATTTTGTAGAAGCTCTAAATAGCATGAAGGACCACATCCAGTGACTCCTCTGTTAAGCTTCTGTAACCTTGGACTACAAGGGTTTATATCCTTCAAGTGTTCAGGACTTTGCTATCAACCACATTGGATTAACAGTAGCAGCTAACCTGTATACTTGGCACAATTTTTAATAAACAGGAGATCTGAGAAGAAATGTTGCCTTCCCTTTATCTCTTCTGTTGCCTTAAGGACAGTCTCTAGGGTTCTGTTTCTGTCCAACTTTCTTGTGCTGAGTTGCTTTCCAACGGATGTGACTTACCCATACAAACAAAGCAGCTGCAGAAGGTTAACAAGGAGTTAACTGGGCACTGTTCCTCCAGAAGGGCTAAAAATACCTGATTTCCAAATTTCAAATTCCAGCATGCCTGAATGGTGTCTAGACACAAGTTCATTTGCCTCTTCCATGTTTGCTATCTGGCTTTGGGGGGGGGGGTGGTTAAGTTGAATGTGATGATGTACATAGCACATAGTAGTTGGTCAGTAAATGGCAGTTATTACTATTTATGGTACTAATGTGATAAATCATGAACTATAAGCTGTACATTTTTAGAATTTGTAAGTTTCAACACAGCCATAATCACAAACCAAAGGCTTTGTAGAGGTAGGGAATAAGACATTTAGACAATGTGGAAATGGCTCAATATCCCATTTCTACCTTACAGAAGCTGAGACACTTGGGAAAATTCATTGCTGAGCCTCAGTTTTGTGTGAATTGGGATATTAATAGAACCTACATCTTTCCAGTGGGGATAGGGTGACATTATAGTCAGCAGACAGCGAATTCTCAACAAATGCTATAAACCTTGTGTTGGGTAGTTTTATCCAGTTGATATAAACTAGAGTCATGTGGGAAGAGGGAACCTCAATTGAGAAAATGCCCCCACCAGACTGGCCTGTGGGCAAGCCTGTAGTGCTCTTCCTGACTGATGACAGGAAGGGTCCAGCTCACTGTGGGCAGTGCCGCCCTTGGCCTGGTGGTCCTGGTGCTATAACAAAGCAGGCTGAGCAAGCTGTGGGAGCAAGCCATAAGCACCTCTCTTCATGCCTCTAGGTTCCTGACCTGACTTACCTCCACACCCTTTCCCTTGGTCATAGTCTTTGTCATAACAGCAGACATCTAACTAAGACACTTGTCATTATGGGGAACACAGGCTGTCTGAGTTGGACATGCAAAGGTATATTCCTTATAGCTTACCTGGGCCCCCAAATTGCATCTGCTTGAGTTTTACTACTGACAAGAGAAAAACAGTACAGTGGGTTTGAATGAAATAAAAAGTTCCCTATTAGTTTATATAGGACACTAGGACAAATTCATCTCTGATTAAAAGTTCTTAGACCAAAAATAATTTGCTTTATAGAGGAAAACTAATTTTTCTATCACATATAATATGAAAGTCATAAGTCACAAGGTTAATGATGAATCATGAGTGCTTGTGGGTCTGTCATTTAATTTCTGGTTTTTACTAATGCATTGATTAGACCAACCTTGAGCACAAGAGAACAGTGGTCTGTGTAGGTGTTCAGTGTATTCTGTGCTTGCACTAAGAGCAGTAACAAAGTAAACTGGAAAACTCAATACATTTTACAACCAGCTGGGGATCTTTCAAGATGGAAACAGCCACTGTGGTGGGCTGTGGGTCTTATCACCCCACTGTAGAGCGATCTAGGTGGGTCTGATTCATTAGCAGAGCTCTTCACATATAATGCAGACAAACCAAAGCAGCAACTGCTAAAGGAATGCATTCATCTTGACATATCTAAACTCAGAATGGGAGCTTCATGCATTAGAATC